AACAATTTTCCTGTGGAAATCTACAGTGTATTTTCATCTAATCTCTTCTCAGATAAGCCATACTGGTATAAATGTAAATCGCTACTACATGAATGAAAGTGTCTCTGAATTTAAACCAATTAATATTGCCTGGTGCCAAATCACCTCCTTATGACAGTTTCCCTTGAGAACATTTCCATTTTTATCAAAAAGCTCAAAGCCAGCATCCTCTCTTACCTCCTCCATCTCTACAAGGATGCTTTCTGTTCTTTGCAGAAATCTTGTAGGCAGCACTTTGGTTCAGCTTTTATTCTATCAGTCAAAGAAAATACAAAATTGTCTGAAATAGTCTGCATGTATTTAGAGGCTGACTATTACCTGATATACTTCTGCCAAATGTAGTCCTCAGTGTAAGATTTACCTTGTAATTATTTGCAGAGAAAAAAACCATTTTTATAGATAATTGATTGCCTACCAATAATTAAGTGCAAATTGCTGAGCTTGGTACTAAAGAATATCCACAAATCCTTCTTTCTTGTCTTCTGTCATTTTTCCTAATTTCATACACTCTTCTGTTGCAAACTCTTATAATGACAGGACCCAGGCAGGGGAAGGTTTTTAGTGAAGTAAGTTTACAATTTTATTTAAATATCTTTATCAAAATACAATTGAAATATAATAAAATTGTGCATATTTAAAGTGTGCAATTCAAAAGGTTTGGATATATGCATATATCCATGAACTTGTTTTATCCCAATCAAGATAATAAATTTCTCTACCATCCTCAAAAGTTTTCCTGTTGCACAGAATAGAGAGCCTGAGGTTGGCCCCATGGATCAGCAAACCCTCAGGGTGTGGATTCTCCCCTGGGTGGCAGGTTTATCAGTTCTGTCACACAATTTTGGCCATGAGATGGAACTGCAAACAGAACCTGTCAAAAAGAGCAGCTAAGTGTTTGGTTCTCTTCAGATACTGGAAAAGGGGAGGTTTCTTTCCTTTCACTTACTCTCTTGGAAGAGTGTGAGCTTCTTTTCTGTAGCCAAAACAAACTAGATTGAAGGAGCTGATATGTCTCCTATCCACCACGACAAAAGGAGATTGTCTGAGCAGAACAAATGGCTTCTGCATGCTGCTTGGTTTCTGTCTGAACAACACACTTCATCAGCTTCTAGCACAGGACTGTGATTCCTGGATCTCTCTTTTCTCCTCTAGTATGAATGTGGGTGTGTAGAAAGTCATTGAAAATAGAAGCACTAAATAATGCATCTGCGTGCTGAGGAATGGCAGTGGCCTGTGCCTACCTGCACAACCTTGGGGTGTGAGGAAACACCCTGTCTAGTGTAGGCAGAACACAGATCCAAAGGAAGTGAAAAATAACTGAGTTTGGCATGAATATTAGCCACATTCATGTGCAGTCAGTGTTACTGATCCTTACTGACAGCCTATTTTCTCCTTCAGACAATATCTATAATCATATACCCCTATTTCACAATTTTAATAAGATCATTATTCATTATCTTATGCAATGGAGCATAAATGAAGCTTAAGATATTGTTACATTAAATATTTAAGATAAATCACACTTTGGATACTTTTTGAAATGTGAATACCTTGAGCAAGGCTGCCTTATGTTTGGAGTGGATGTTACCAGGCCTTTTCTTCCCAAAGAGGTGCTTAGGTACATCAAACTCTACTACATGAGACTTCTGGGAGAACATGGCAGATAGATAGCAGCAGCTATGGACGCTGTCTGAGATACCTCACTTAAAATCCAGGAATGGTGTGGGGCGAGAATTCCTAAGCAAGAGGAAATATACCTTGCTGACCCAGGAACGAACTAAACTAAGAGAAACCAACCGGAAAAGCAATCCTGGTACTATAACAGGAACAGATAAGGTCTCAGCGCAGAAGCTGGAGCCTGTGCCACTGAAAGCCGCGATTTGAATTTCCTGCAGTTGCTGCTATGTCCCAATTGGCATGGCAAGGAGAGAGGCGCGAAAGCTCTGAGAGTGGAAAGCGGTGAATGGAGTTCAGAGTGGGACTGGCCAGGAGCCCTAGTTGCATATTCCCCTCTCAAGCAGGATTAGTGGGGAGCACCTGGCCTGGGTGTCGCCACTGACTTAAGTAGGGTAGCCCAAACCCGGTCCCAGCGCCTGGAGGTGCACCCTAGCAGTGAAGCCTTCACTAGGTTGACCTGGAGGGGCAGGCCAAGCATAGGCTGCCCAGGTCTGTGTCTCCCTAGGACACTGCAGTGGGTGGGAACACTTAGCTAGTGCAATTCAAACAAACTGTAACCGACAAAGAAAGAAACTGGGTCTCTTACATATGCTTGTATGGAAGAAACAAAAAATATGGGAAGAGGAAACAACAAGAAAGGGTCCTCAGCTGCCAATCTTGAGAAACATGCAATATCAGACACGGCACTAATAGCTATATCTCCAGAGTGTCATAGACCAGTTCAAAAATGAAGTTATTAATGACCTAAAACAAGATATAAGTAGAATAGTTAGAGAAATGCTAAGTACTGCCCAAGAAAAAACAGATGGTGGAATGGAAAAACAGAAAAAAAGGGGAGAATTGTTTGATGGAGAAAATAGAGAAAATATAGAATATGTGAAGCAGGTTCAAGAGATTACCAGGAAACTAAAAACTCTATTGAAAGCTGGCATAACAGCTTGAAAGAAACTAGGATAGATTATCTGAACTGGAGGACAGATTTGTAATGTGGGAGCATGAAATGAAAAACTTCTTAAAAATAACAAGAAAACAAACAGCAATAATACAAAGGCTAGAAGATGATAAGAGGATCTATAACTTAAAATTAAGAACATAAAAGAAGAAGTAGGGACACAAACAAATGGACTACAAAAGCTATTCACAGAAATAATCCAAGAGAATTTCCCTAATTTAGCAAAAGGTAAAGATCCTCAGATGTATGAGGCACACAGGACCCCAGCCACCTACAACCCAAACAGAGCTACACCCAGGCATATAATAATAAAAATTCCAGAAATCCAATATAAGAACAGAATATTAAAAGCCATCAGAGACAAAAAACAGATCACTTACAAGGGAACATCCATCAGAATTACAGCAGACTTCTCGGCACAAACCATCAAATCACGAAGAGCATGGGGGGAAATAATTCAAGCTTTGAAAGATAATAACCTCCAGCCAAGATTTTACCCCAATCAGGTTTTCTGTGTTATAACATCAGAGCCACTTTATCCTGAATGAGATCACCTAGTTGTTACTTTGCCTGATTCTTTCTTTCTTTATTTCTTTCCCTGACCTTCATCCTTTATTTAAGGATGCTGCCTGGCCAGGTGACAGTGCACCACTGACACTGACAGGTAATGACATGATAGTTACCTTTACAAATGACTTGATTTTTGTGGTTTAGTGACTGAAATCTCAGTAGTCACCCTTCAAAAAAACCACCTAAAACCTAAATGGATTGGTTTTAATTTGGGGCAGAACTTCCAGTTGGAGTAGATAACATTTTTATTTCTATTAATTTTCTCATTTCTCTTCCTGGTGTAAATACCAACATTGTTTCATTTTTTAAAAAATTGCAGTTTAGTAGTTTCTCTCTGATTTTTCTCTGTTGAAAACTAAATCTTTTTCATTGTCAAAAAAAGAAACGGAATCTTACAAGTTGTCCAAAGGAAAGGTCCCCAAAATCTTATGCATCATCCCATAGTCTTGTTTACCTCAGCCTCAGAGTTTGTTAAAGATAGAGAGAGGTCTGGAGGCCAGGTATGAGTTTAAAATTCCCAAGCATCTTATGATATTCTTCAAAGATTCCATTCTGCTTACCATTACTTTTCTTGAGTTCTCTCCTCAGGGTTAGACGTGTTTATCCAGTTTCAACTAGAAATGTCTATTTGGATAATGAAATAGACCCTCCAGGAGTCAAAATCTAATGCATTTTAGATTACAGCTCTATTATGTGCCAGTTTTTTGATCCTGTATAACTAATTTCCCATAAAACTTTCTTATCTGTAAAATAAAGATCACAATGATACCCCTTTCTTTATTTTGTGATAGGTATCAAGTGAGATATTAAATGAGGAAATTTATTTTTGAGAAATATCAAAGAATCAATGACACTAAAAAAATAAGTAGAAATTTCTTCTGGCTCTGGAGGGAGGGAATGAGAGATCATCGAATTGGCCTGATGGTGGGCTTTGATTGCTTCTCATTTAACTTCACATGGTAAAAGGAGGAGAAATGAGCCAACTGTGTTGTTTTGTAAGAGTGCTAAGCCCATAACTGACAGGGTTAATGACAGGTTAAGCTTCCACAGGCCTCATTTCCCAATGCCATCACAATGAGGGTTAGGATTTCAACATGCATTTGGGGAGTGACAACAGCATCCTGTCCAGAGCAGCTCTGTGCTGTGATACTGGCTGCAGGTCCCAGACATTTAGTTCCTATTCCTGGCTTTATAAGCATCTTAAAGATCTTATAATCTAGAATCAATTTAAAAATTTTTTTTCTTAGTAGATTTCTATTGCTTGCAATTAATCACCTTAACTTATAGAATTACAATATCCTTTTATCAAAAGCATTTCTGGAAAATGGAATGCATAAAAACAATGACTGTCCAAAGTGGGGAGATCAGGGCAAGCAAGTTGATTAACTTATTTATGGACTTAACAGGAAGTAGGTGTGAATTTTTCTTTTTTCTCGTAGATGGAACCTAGGAACTTGTATATGACAGGTTAAGTGCTCGGTTGCTGACCTACACATCTGGTCCCCAGAGTTTATGATAATTATGATAGTTATGATAAGTTTATAATAATTTAGGGGACTGGAGAGGAGAAGGTTTAAAACAACGGAGGCTACCTACGTCCACTGGGCTTTGGAACTTTGGCTGTGAGTGACTGAAGCAGCTGTTATCCCTTGTGCATGGAATAAAGAAACTGATTTTGCTTATCTCTTGAGTTTCCCCAGGATTGGCCTGTGTCTTAGTTACTTTTTACTCATTTGCTGAGACAAAATACCTGAAGCCCAAGTTGGGAAAGGAAAGATTTATTTCTTACAGTTTTTGGAGGTTTCAGTCTACACTCAGTTGGCTCCAAGGCAGGCGGGCATGGTGGGGCCGCAGTTCATGGCAGCTGCAAACAGCAAGCAGGAACCAGCAAAGAGCAAGACACACCTTCTTCCTGCCATTACATCACATCCTGGCTCCACCCCTATCTGGGTGTAGCACTGACACCATGAATCCAAGCACTAGACAATGAACCATCACAAACGCACAATGCAAACTCATGAGGCCTGGGGGCAACAGACATAAACCATGACAGCCTGCTAGTTTTTTATGTAGACTCCAGTCTGGTATTCTGCAGGCTTTACATCTGCGACCAGTCCTGGTGGTAGCCACAGTACCGCTGGACACTGGGGCTGCAGCTGGTTGGTTGTTTCCCAGCAATGTCATGCCAATAAGAAAACATGTTCTCATGCTTGTACGGATAGAGGAATGGCTTCATACTAGAATGCAGTGGTACAATTCAGGGGGCAGGCCTGTCTCAGTCAAGGAGGATAGAGACAGCTTCTACCTTCTACACAACAGATTGCTCAATCATTAGAGTGTGAACTCGTTGCATTTACATTACAGATCAAGAGTCTGCCAGTTCCCCAGAAGGATTCACTCACAGTCATGACAGGTGTTTTGATTTCACTCGTAGATGTCTTTGGAAAGCCTTTGGCACATGCAAGTTTTTGGCATGAAAGTCTAACCTGAGGGAAGTTTCAAGTTGCAGAAAGCCTTTTCTTGGGCTAATAAAATTCCTCCACCTCTTTCATTACCAGTCTCCACAATCTGCTTCCAGGAATTGGTTATTTTGAGAGGTTTCACACAGGCTTACACCAGCCCTGGAACACTGAAACTTTATCTTTTACCTTTGAAGAATTTAGAGGCTGTATCACTTATGCTCCCTTTCTGCTTGAACATTAATCTGTTGCTTCATCTAGATTCACAGTACCCCGGCCTTGCTCAGCCGCATTTCTGTAGAATCAGATACTTGTGGGATTTGCTTATGACCTCAGCTTTGGTGAGTTCATTATATAAGTCTTCACTCATTTGGACACTGTTCCTTTCTTGATCAACTACTTTCTTTGTTTCCCGTTTCCTTTGTATTCTCTGCCTCAGAACTACCCCTCACTTGGTTATTATTCATTATGGTTTTCAGAATTCCACTAAATTAAAGCACAAATACAAGACAAGACATATCATAGACATGTTTGTACTGCCAGTGACACTGTTGTCTCTTGTTAACTTGCAACCAGTGGGCGCTTCACTGCATGGTCATGAAATGTCCCTGGTTGGAGAGGACTTTCTGAAGGTCAGCTCCTGCCTCAAGGCAGGCTCTCATCTACTTTATCCCACGCAGATTCTTTGCAATGGCAAGTTTAGAACCTCTCTAGTGTCTAATGATGCATCCTGGGACATTCTGCAATATGTTTAAACACATCCAAAGATGATATGAAAATGACAAGGTATCATGTGCTTAGCTCTTAACTTCAGAGGAGAATTTCTCGCTGAGATGGACTGGATACAGCTCCAGGCCAAGTTTCAGATGATCCATTATGAAGAATTCCTCAGGTCTGTTTTGTGGAAGCTGTGTTCTGAGCCGTAAGAGAAAGATGGCATTAGGACTAGCCAGCTCAAAAGAAGTTTCCATACCGAAGCACAGAGAATATTCCTAAAGTCAGGATAGAATTTGAGAAATTTCTTGGGGACAGAAAATATATCTTCCTTTTCTCAAAATCAATTTGCCATTAGATTATCATGACTGTGTCTCCCCCGCCACCAATATCTAGGAAAAGAGCAGCTAGCCAACTAAGGGAATTCTTCTTTTAATAGATAGTGGTATGCATAATTGATAGAATCAGATTGTGTATACAATTCTTTTATAACTCTTACTGTTCATGAACTACAAGGTATTGAATGAAGGGTCAAATCTAAGAAAATTTTGAGGTTTTTTATTTTTTATTTTTGTGGTATTAGAGATTGGAATCATGGTCTTTGCTACATTCCTAGCCCTTTAAAAATTATTTTTGAGTGGAAGTCTTACTAAGTCACCTACCTTTGGCTTGAAATTGTGATCCCCTCAGTCTTCAAAGGTAGCTGGAATTACTGGCATTCACCAATACACTTGACGTGTTTTGTTTTTAATTCCCTTATTTTTTAATATATATATTTTAAAAGAAACAAAACAGAAAAAAGGCACCTGGTGTGTTTTTATCTGGGATCTTTTTATCTTCATTAGTCATCCCAGATATTACTTCTAACTCCAAATACTCATCATTCTTACCAGTGTTTCCTGTTTTCCCTTTTAAAGACTTTAAAGATTCAGGAAGAGAAGTCAAATGCATTGATTCTATTGAGAACTACCAGGACCATCCATCCATTCAAGGATTTTGAGAAAAATTCATTTTGAAACTGTCTGTGGAATTTTAGTTAATTTATAGAATGAGAGAAATAGTTCTGTGTAGTGGAGTCCACTCCAGAGGAATTTGGACTGTAATTTTTGCCCTGAAGCTAACCTTAAAAACTTTGAATAATTTTTATGGGGTGTCAAGTCAAAACACTTGTTACAGAAGTTGTCCTTATAAAACCAAGGTATGAGATTTTATCACACACTGTTGGGATTACCCTTCACATCTTCATAAATTCTGTTCTTACTATGTTGATAATAAGTCTAAATCTGGACTAATCTGACCTTTTCATTTTTTTATTAGCTGCTAGTTAACAGCAGATCTAAACTATTAATATCAACTCGGAAAGTTAATCAAACAGCCTTGATGGGAAAGCTAACAAGTTATTAAAAATTCTTAGAAGTTATTTTCCCTTCAGTAATACTCATAATATAGTCCTTGTGCAAGGTGAATTTCAGGATATGATTACTGAATTTATTTGACAATCATTTCCAACAAATACAAAAACTCGCCAGTCCCTATAATTTTTTAATGGGGCGCCTTCCGACATGGAAGTCCACGAAATGGAAGAAGAGTGAAGTCTGCTTTCACTTCCAGCCTAGAACAAGTGGGAACTTTTCTCAACTGTTTATATAAGTGACCGTTCACAAGGCTATTTTAGAAGAAGCATGATAAAATAAGCCTGATTGAAACGAAGCCTTTATGAAACTTTTACCTCGAGGCAAGATACTGTGGACTTTGTTGCACTGTTAATGTATATTTTTTCCATACCTTCCATTCACCATTAATTATATTAATTTCTACTTAAGGAGAAAAAAATACTTCTACTCACTCTAAGAATAGGTATAGAAAAATCTATTTCTAATGGGATTATTCCAGCAATCTTTAAGGGCAGAAAAAGAAAATCTTGAATGCTTTCACAATGTTTGGCCCAGAGTAGATACTCAGTAAATATTGGTTGAATGAGCAGGTGGAGAAAACCAAGCAAAATAAAACAAAAAACAAATGAATGACTTAATTTGAATGACAGACACAGATATTTTACTTTTAAAAGGGACACAAATTTGTTTTAAAATGATACCAAACTAAAAGTTTATTATGCAACATTTTTCATCTTCTAAAATAGCTTAAAAATACAAATGCCATGAAAATCAAAACACTTTCTATATGTAATTCTTATGATGACTTGCTTCAGCATCTGTGAAATTCTGCAGTCTTAACATTGGTGGCACCCATACTGATAACAGTAGAACAAGAAGCCTGCCCAGGCTGTGTATCCACATCAAATCTAACCTGTCTGGACATGTGCCTCATTTACTAGTCCCAGATTTTGACCAAGGGGTGAATCAGCTAAAAAAAATAGGTGAATGATTCTTCTTCTACTCGTGCTTTTGGAGGAGGCTTCTCATTAACATGACTGGCATCTTGAACAACGTCAACACTAGATGACTGCCAGAAAACCTGTTGGTCAATCAAAACTAGATTTATTGGATCTAGTGCAATAAAGAAGAATGCTACCTTGATCATGGAGGTATCTTAGGAAAAGCAGATTTACAAGGTGCTAGGGTCCAGCTCATTGGTGTACAGCTGGTTTGTCAGGTGGGGTACCATTTAGGATTGAGCAAAGTTCGTGATATAATAGTGGAGCATCGCAGTCAGGATCTTAAATGGAGTTATTTCAACTTAAATGGAGTTAAGTAAATGTTTTTCTAAGCAAGTCATTTGTCTATGATTCTGTTTGCTTGGTTTTTGATAAACAGGTTTGCAGGAATTGACTGCAGGAATCAGTGAAATTATAAATTTATTTGCATCCACATGTTCCTTTGGTAATGACCTAAACTAAATCATTCTATTATGTTGACACAGGTGGCCTAACTTCCTACTGAGTGTGGAGCTTGCTGGACACTTAGTGGTCTGAACTCTCACAGTTTAAGAGCTGAGGGGAGGCTGGGACATTATTGCTTCCTGTGACATGTGAAGCAGAGGAGAATGGGGCACGATAGATGAGTCCTGCATGCATAGATTGTAAATTTACATAGTCTGTAGGATTATCGGGCATTCAGTCGGTGGACCTGGAAAAGAATCTCATTTTAGAAGACCTGGAGACACCATAGAGTACATTAGGAATTATACTTGCTAATCAATTCCTTAGCAGTAAGGCTCAGATAGAATTTGGACTGGAAGCCTACTAAGAATTCAGCAGGGCCAACAATCTTTTTGGAAATATCAAGTCTTTATGAAGATTTCTTTAGCTAAGGATAAATTCAAGGAACAAAATTTATATAGGACTAATAGTAATTAATAGATAATACCATTTGTAGCTGCACAGAAGCTGTCCTGCTCAAATTTAATTGGAAGTCAGAGAAAAAAATAGTTTATGTTACTGTGCATTATTGGTAGGATGTAGCATGGCCTGACCACTATTAAAAGGGAGTAGAAAATTATAGGCATTAAGAAGCTCAGAAGGTAAAGGAACATAAAGATAAACACAAGAATATAAGATAAAAGGGCAGAGAGAAGAAAATAATTAAAATGAATAGTATAATAACATTTTTCTACAGGTTTAACTTGTTGAAGAATAAAGATCTTTGAGCTGTGTTACAGGACTTATAAATTTAAAGCAATTTTTGTTTAAAAACATGTGATAAAACTAGGAAATCAGTTTTTATGATAGTGGTAGAAACAATGAGACAGGGAGGAAATTTGAAAAGTCAAAAATCATGTATTTTTGTCAACAGTTTACAAATTGTTGCAGTTACACAAAATATATCTCATGATTTTCAATACTTATAAAAGCATTTAGATTATAGTTCAAGTGGCTAAAACTGTGCCTTTGTGTTGGAAAGAAGTTAACTGAACTATATTCTTTAGCTTTACAGTGATTAGTGGGAAAAGACAGCATAAAGTAATTTCAGTTAGATAGGGATATAGTGTCCTTAAGTAGCTCACAGTTCTTGGTCCCAACCACTTTTTCCTTCTCTTATTAGGAAAAAGTTAAGTACATCATCATGCTGGAAAGAAAAACAAATTTCCTTTAAAATAGGTGAACAGTACAATTTTCCACTCCTTATAGCTGATTGCCTGTTTAAAAAACTTACCTGTTTGATTTCAGATATTTTTACTCTCAAAATGGCAACTTTACAACCTCTATTTTAGGTAAGTACAAAGGGTTCCACAACCAGATTTTAGAAAAGTAACTGAGTTCAAAAGAACTGGATACCATAAATAAGTAATTTCCATAAACCTGGTTTTGAAAGTCCAAGAGAAATTTCTTGGGTAAAACAATAAAACTACCTTATAGAATATTCTTCTTGTAACTTAGCATCAACAACAAAACCCACCCATGTCCTCCTACCCTTATCCCCCACCCCCCTAAAAAGGACAGGAAGAAAGAAAGTCCACATTGTGATCAAAACCAGAAGGGAACAAAACCCAGTGCTCTAAAGAATGACAGCTGGGCCGGAAACACGCTTCTGGAACCATGAGGCTTCTAAACTCACCCCTCCCCAGGTACAACAGAGATGAATCCACGCAGTCCTGAGAGTTCTCTTACATTTTCCCTGCCAGGGTCAGTGCAAGTTACCACATGTGAACTTAATGATCGGATACAATTAACAAAGAGCCCAACCCTGCCAGGGAGAAGTGAAGATTTCTTAACTAACCTGCAACTGGGAGCCTGATCCAAACCCCAACAGCGTACGTCAGAGGATGGACCTTTACCATGTAGAGTAAAGCCCAGAGCCCAGGTCCTCGGAGGAAGATGATTCACCATCTCAGTGAGGTTTGACCTTCTCACTACTGCCCTGAGGACAAGACTGTAGAGGAGAGGGGATTCAAATTTCATGAATGCTAGTCACATTCTTTAACTGGCATTGTGAAAAACAGTGTTTTTATTATGTTCGAAGTTTATAGTGACAATAAAGTTCCATCTTCTAGGAACAAGAGTTTTAAGAGAAAAAAACACATTGAACAGTTTTCCTTGTTCAAATGACTTCACAGAATATGTATATTGTTGGAAACACACACACAAAAAAAGAGAAATAATCTTAGAAAATGTTTGTATTCTAAATGGTAATAGGCACATGGTCAGACATATTAAAAACAGTAAAAATATTAACAAATGCTTTTTCTTAAAAATAATTTTATGAGAGGTCATAAAGAAGGGATTTAAAGAAAAGAATGTATAATATGATTTTTTTTTGCTACCAGGATTGAACTCACGACCTGGCGCTTGCCAGGCAGGCGCTTCTGCCGCTGAGCTAAATCCCTGGACCTAATGTATAATATGTTAAATAAGATGCTGTATTTTATATTCTAACATTAAAATATAAGACATTTACCTTATTTGAATCTATAACAGAGCATTAATAACTCTGGAAAATAGAAATTGATTAATATTTTTAAAAACTTACCAGATTTATGTTACAATGATAGGCAAAGGGCTGCAAAAGGAGTTTCCAATGGGCAAAGCTGGAACAATCTGAGTAACTAAAAAAAAAAAGAAAACATTGAGTATTGTAATATAACCCAAAGAATAAAATATTCATGAGTATATATGGATATAAATAAATGATTGCATACATGAACAAACGGAGGAGAAGATACAAATTTATCTTTTAAGGCGTCTCAAATGTATTATGTAGGGGTTCTTCCCTAAGGAGGGAAACACAACTTTTCCTCCCTTAAGATTGTGCATAACAACTGCCTGCCAAAGAGTACAGTGTGTGGAAAGGGGGGCAAAAGTGTACTCTTATGGTGGACAAACTGACAAATAATTCTTCATCTAGGTGGCCAGAGTTACACCAACAGGATGGACTAATGCTGACAGCATGCATCTTTGACATCAGATAAAAATGGTATTTTATCTTTGGATCTTTCTTCTAAGTCTCATAAATCCAGTTAATCATGGGAAAATTTTGCATCAGGAAAACCCTAAGGGAATCCATCTACAAACAAACTCTCCAGTGCTGTTAAGGTTATCAAAAGCGAGGAAAATCTAAGACAATACAGCCAGGAGCTGAGGAAATTTGAGAGGTAAGTGTAACTGGGGATCTGGGCCAGAAAAAGGACATCAGGTAAAAACAAAGGAAATCTGAACTGCATATATATGAACTTTAGTTATGAGTAAACATCAGTATTGGTTCATTAATCACAGCAAATACATTATGCAAATGGAAGCGTAATAGGAGGAACCGCCCACCACATGGGAACTCTCAGTAGTATTTGCTCAGTTTTTCTAGGAGTCTAAACATTTTTGAAATTGCTTCTTTAAGAGCCGAGGTATTACTCAGTGACAGAGCTTGCCTCGCATGCGTGAAGCCCTGGGCTTGATATCCCACAGACTCATACACAAAACAAATTCAATTGCAGCGGTGAAACAATCTGACTGGCTTTCTAATCACTATACGTTCTTCTTAGAGTTCCAAGTTAAACAATACTACATAAAACAGAAGAATTATAGTTTAATAATAGGGTAAAATGATCAGCATTTACAGTAGACAGTACGGGCTCCTAAACACACAATAAAATTTAAATAAAAGCTCTTAGAAATTGTAAGAGAATTTGGAAAACTGGATGGATAAAACATAAGTCAAATACTTACACACAAATAAAATATAATAGGAATGTGTTAATTGTAGTATAAAAATAGAAAATACCTAAGAATTAAGTTATTTGATAGGAATAAAGTTTCTACTAAAATAGAAAGTCCCCACAGGAAAGAAGCTATAAAATTATACTGGTTGGCATAACATACTCAAATAATAGAAAGGAAATAATACTTCCAGAGGCAAAATCTACCAGCTCTCATCCAATGTCCATTGCTGCATTCTCGGTTTTTAGGAGCAGAGACCCTTCAGTCACTACAGGGTGCAGAGCCTCTGTGCGGAGTCCACAATTCCTAGCCTTCCTGCACTTGGGTGCAGCAGCCGCTGAGTCACTGCCAATCCGGAGGTGTGTGTGGGAGTGCAACCATCTGGGTCACACTGAATGGGAGAATTGCTTTTGCTTTTTATTTTTCTGTTGCTGTATCTGGAGTGTAGATGCTGGTGGAAGTGAGGTCTCCCAGCAGTTGATTAAGGCTGGAGACGTCCTGTGATGGACAGGACCGCCTCAGCCTGGACACAACTTCCTTTGGACTGATCTAGTTCCCAGGAATAAACTTTTCTCTGATTTGAGCCACTGTACTTTTGTGTTTCTTCATGAAATAACTTTTCCCATATCCTGACACACTCCAGAATAGAAAGAAGGATCATGACAACTATCTCTCTTGTGAAAAATAAGTTATAGGTTTGATTGAATATGATATATTTACAGGCTGGGATATTATGCAGCCATTCAAAATAATGTTTTCAAAAAAATGTTGATAGCATAAAAAATGACATTATAAGATGTTTGTAGAAGGAGTGTGATATAAAACTACATATAACAAATATGTACTGTATATGCATTTATACACTATGTATATAATTGGAAAGAAATATATATATATATATATATATATATATATATATATATATAATTGGAAAGAAAAGTAGCTTTTCAGCTATTTTTGGATATAGCACCAAAATTGTTGTTTTCTCATATTTTCTGTGCCTAGAAATGCCATGTTTAGTTTAAGTTTATGTAACTTTTAAAAACCACAATATGACAGTCAGTTTTCTTGTAAAGCATACCAGGGAAATTAGGAGACAATTTCTAAAAGCACAATTTAGTTTGTAATGAATTATTTTCTACAGACTGGCTGCATCTGACCACATTTTTGAAAAAATACATATATAAAGTTACTTCTCTACCTTTTATTCATATACTGTATATGTTATATGTGCATATACTGTATATGTTATATGTGCATATACTTACAAAGAACAAAAATAATTAAAAATCAAAAATGAAATCATGAACTAAATTTAAAAAACTATGTAGTTACAGTCGATATATAAAATTAAATGAGATTTCAAACGGTAGTATGAAGTAATGATCTTCTAAATGAAAAGCAGCTACCCAATTTTACTGTGTTGAATTTACTACAGACTTTGTTTTTATTCATGTTCATATATTATCTAGGAAATAAACATTTTGGTGTACTCCCCAGTACCCGCCACTAGAGTATGTAAATTATTAGGGACAATTGCCAGTCTATCAGCCAAGGATTTATGCATCAAATAATACAGAGCAAAATGCTAATGTTTCTTACATATCATTTGACGCAGCTTGGTTCATGCTGGGTTTTTATAGGAGTCTGGTCTTCCTTTAGATTGTTGATTTCCAAATACAAGTGAATGTCCTGAATCGAACTCAGGACCTCACACTTGCCAGCTTGAGACTGTGCCACTGAGCTATATCCCTGGCCCCATTTCTGGATATGGAAAAAACACAGCTATTCTTTACTTCCTTCTTATTTCCGTACCCTCCTCCAGCTGGGGTTGGGAGCTGCACAAATATATTTAGATTTTTTCCACAAATAATTCCGATATGATGCTCTCTTAAACAAAACTTTTAAATTATATTTGTTTTGGGAAAAACAGTAGAAAATAAAAGAATGATTGTTCTATTGTCTAAATTTGGACTAAACAGTGAAACAAATCTCTTTTTTTTGAGAATCACCACAGATTTTTATATACAAATATGAGTGTAAAACTCCAAACAAAGCTATTTTAGAAGCAAAATTTGGAAATAACAAACAAAAGGGTCATGTTGGATTCTTTATAAAGTCTATTTCAGTGTAGTCTAAACTTTTTATTCGCAGATCCAGCAGGAAGATTGTAATATATTAAATCTGATTATAACACACCAGACCGTGATAGGTTGGAAATAACAAACGGGTAGTCACTTTGTGAGTTGGTTAAAGAGAGCCCGAGATACTATTTTTAGTCTGCATTTGTTTGTTCTTTGATTCCTCACTACTCCTCTCCTACTTCTGAACTTGGATTTCTGTGTGGGAATTACTGTTGGATGGAGAAGTGACATCAGAGCATTCTGCTTACCCTGAAAACACTCAGTTCAGGGTCGTGGGACTCTGTACCAGAGAGACACTGACTCTTGACCTCAGAGAAGAGACAGGAGGTAGAGGATGGTCAAAGTTTAAGTTTTCGTAAAAATCGCATCTTACTCCACAGAGCTTCTGAAACACTGATTCACACCAGCCACATTAGAAGTTTCTGTGTGGGTTAACAGTAGTACACTAACCAGTTTTTAAAAGAGAGGGCTGTTTACTGCTAGCCCTGGAAGTCAGTGGTTCCTCCCAGCACTTTCTAGCCTTCCCTCTTACGCAGGGAATGTCTCAGCTAGAAGTGACAACTCAACTAATGTTTGAAATGAGGAAAATTCAACAATGCATGAAAAAGAATTACAATGCTGAGTATATCTGGTGCAACAAACATTGGGCCCAGTGCTTGTATTCTGTATTAGGCGCTCTGCTACAGATATTTTTAAGGAAAGGAAACGATTTTCCCTTTCTCGTTTCTTCCTTCCATCCTTCCTCTCCTTCAGCTACCCTCCTCTTCCACTTCTTCTCTCCCTCATCTTCCCCTCTTCCTCCTCCTCCTTATCTTTTCCTCCTCCTTGTCCCTTCTCCACTCCTTCCTCCTTTTCTACTGTCTCCTTTTCCTCTCTGCCCTCCTCCTCTTTCTAGGAACCTGTGACGTATTTAGTTTCTATGAAAGGTAATAGATCACAAAGGATTAAATGTTTTCCTTACATTGGTCAAGACTAGCCGGGGAGACCCAGGGCTGAAACTGATGCTTGCCGGGTCTATCATTGTCCCCAGGACTTCTCAGGGAAGAGCTGCAGTGCAGAGGCAGGCAGGTCTCCACAGGGCAGTGCGCTAGAGAAGTAAGGACAAAGAGAGGACTGTGTGTGCTTCGGAGAGTTACTGACTCTCATTCTTTGGAAGACATATAAAATAACCATGATGACCCATATCTGGAAAATTGTGCATCCCTAGGGTAAGCTGTACCTAAACTTAGAAGGTCAGATTATTGACTGTGGGCCCGAGAGGAGAGTGCCTGCTCTGTGAGTTGAGAAAGCCTCATTGAGCGGCTTGTAGAAGCAGGAGGAAGCTGTTGCATGAGGGTACCCTGTGGCACAATGCCTGGGTCTGGGCCGTGGGGTTCACAGCCAGTCCTGGCATCCTTAAGTATATGACTTGGAGCTGATGGTTTAATTCTGCCTGAGTTGGTTTCTTTTATTTCTTTTAAATGAAAGTAGTAATACTACCAAACCTTTATGATTTTTTTTTGTGGGGTTAGAATGAGTAATTGCAAATTCTTATTACAACGCAGGTATTGGTTCTTACTACTTTATGTTTGGTAAAATTTCTTCAAATTAAATAACATCTCTATAATTCAGTGCTATTCACATCTATTAGAATTATTGGCTATGGTTTGAGAAAAAGTATATCAAATAGACTGAAAATGAGAAGAGGTGGAGTCACTGCCTAATTTATGTTTTCTAGGTGTCCTTTAGTGCCTAATGAATGACAGTGTTTTGTTTAGTAACTTTTTGCCCAGAATTTGCAAGAAACTAATAATATTAAATGGTATTTACCTTGGATTTATGATATTCATCATTTGCCTTTATTTTTTGTCTAAAACAATAGAAATATAAAAAGTAGCTTTGTGCTCTCAACAAACAGAAAGACCAGGATGTTGTCACAGTAAAAGGAGGAAGCAATAATCCCAAGAGGAATTTGAGATTTCCTGTGGGAAGGTTCATACATCTTCATTATCCCGGATGATCTTCCATATCCTACAGGAAAAAGTAAAAAATGTGTATACGTCTTTGAGAACAAATAAGTTGTCAGAAGTTACGTTATGTGAACATCAATTCTTCCTGAGTTCCTATCTTTTCTGAATTAGAAATCAGTAAACAATGAACCACATGGTTTTCCCAGCCCTGTGCTGGCTTTCTGGCCATCTTGAAAAAAACTTCTTGTTCTACCAACTGAAAACCCCTCTCCTAGTGCCAGGGATGTGGAGCGATTTCCATGATTATTGTTGACAGTTCTGTCTTGGAGGAATGGGCTCCTGATTTATTGGACTTTTAAGTAGAAGCTTATTTTTGTTTTCAATTTTAGCTCTAATGTTTTCTTTGTCTAGAACCAATTGTTCTTCCACAGACAGATTTTCATTTTTTTTTTAGTAACCTTGAAAGACTTCAACATAACACTTTGACTAAGCCTGACTCACAGCCTGCAGTGCCACTCCGCACTGAGTTTTTCTTGCCCTTGAGGCCTTTGGCAGCCTCTCCTCTGATATGAATACCATTTGTATTTCCCTACAGTTTTAATAAAACCTTTCTTGCTGGAATCAGCATTACTCCTTCCAAGTTGTTGCTTGCCCAAGAAGGCAATACCCATAAATGCCACCACATGAGAAAATCTCTTGCAACACTTGGGTCTTTGGTTTTGTGCACAGTTGCTGATGAGATGTTTGCCCTTGAATCCTAGGTTATTTAAGCTCAGCTACATTTTTTCTGAGTTGAAGCTTGTTTCAGGATTTTAAAAGGTTATTTGGACAAGTATAGGGAAAGAAATGTATATAAATAAAGTAGTAAAGTACATCCTTGTTCTTTTTTTTCAGTACTGGAGGTCAAACCCAAGAGCGTTATACCACTGCGTTACATCCCTAGCCTGGTTTTTCTTTGTTCTGAGACAGAGTCAGATGAGCTGTCCAGGCAGGACTCAAAACTTTTATCCTCTTGCCTCAGCCTCTAAAAGTGCTGGAAGTGCTGGACTGTGTCACCAACTCCAGCCAGTGTATTCATTTTAAGTAGAAACATGTTCCTTGATTAATATTCTTACTTTCCACCTATTTTGAAACAACAGCACTGTTATGAAGAGGTCACATAGACATAGCTGTAAAAGAAGTAGAGGGAGGGGTAGGGATGGGGATGTCTTAGTGATAGAGCTCTTGCCTCACATAAGCAAGGCCCAGAATTCAATCCCCAGCATTGCAGATTATCAGTATGTGT